TGATTTTGGTTTTGTGATGTTTGGGGTTTGTTTGTTTAGTTTTGGTGTTTGTGTGGTTTTGTGGTTTTTGTTGTTGTTGTTGGATTTATTGTTTGTGGGGTTTTTTGGTTGGTTTTCTTAATTTGTTTTGTTGGTTTTTTTTTAAATTTAGCGATTTGTAAAACTGATAGGATGCATTCCATGAAACATGTAAACAGTGAATTCAGTTTATTAATTAAATTTATTTTCATTTAATTGATGTAAATGTGACATAATTGTATACGACTCCAATTTACTTTTTCTTGACAAATGGTTAAGTGCTAGTTTCATTAAGACTTGTGGTACAGTACAGGATACCTCTTTTCTCGTACTGCTTTTGCTGAAGATTTCAGGAAGGATGTTGTTTAGAAACTTGAACAGACTTTTGGTTTTTTAAATATTAAGGCTTTTGCCATTTTCATATCTCATTCATGGATAACTGTTTCCTCAAAGTCTAATGTTTCATTGCTGGCAAGCCATTAAAATGGTGCCAAACATCAAGAACATTGTCTTGTTGTATAATTGAGTAGAGCATAATACAGGAAGAAAATTGTAATAGAGAAATGTGTCAAGCTTAAGAATATTTTATCAGTTTCTTCATTTTTGTGGGAAGCTGAATCTTGATAATCTTTGTAGCTAAATGCATCTGTGTTAAACATTTAAAATAGGTAGTACTCATGGGAAAACTGATTGGAGCTTAGAACTTGTACAAATTGACAGCCTCTCTTCACTCCATTTTTCATCCTAAAGAAGTCTGCAAATATTCTTAGCTCACATCATTATTGCTCATCAGTGATTCTAATTAGCTAAACAGGAGTTTGTCTCAGTCATTGATCATCATCAGCTTCTTGACAGTGCCTGAATTTTCTCCCCCCATATTCCAATGGACTTTTAAAAATACATTTTAAATACAAAATAGCTCAAGGAATGAAGTTGTTCAAAGGGGTTTTTTTCTGAATATTTGTTACCCTTTTAGAAAAGAAGAGATGATGACTGCAATTCCTATAAAGTCCCATTTTACAGTGTGACAGCAGATCCAAATATGATGTATAAGTTCCAGTCTGAAATACTACTGATTGTCTGTGGGGAGCTATCCTGTAAGAAGCATGGGAAAATGTCCTATGCCATCAGGAGAAACTGCTAATAAAGTTGCATTTGAGGTTTCAGCTTATACTTTAGGCTTCTGAAAACTTCCATTTTGTACTTAACTTCTAATAATTAAAGCATTTTTCTTTATCTGTGGGCGGTTACATGTTAAACTATTTTTGGGGGCATTAGCAAGCATGTGGTATCTAGAAAGCTTGAAAGAAAACATCGTAAGGGCAAAATACATTTAATTTATTTAAACTTTTCCTACTCATGATTGTGATGATAGATCTGTGTTTATAACCTATGTTCTTTCACATCTTTGTTTAAAGGAGTACTTTACCAAGCAGTGGAAGGAAAATAGGAAGGAAAATAGGTGGAAAATGCTGCATTTAACTAGAAATGTGCTGTGAACTGTTGTCTAGTGTGTAGCTCTGTTACAGGTGTATTTTTTGCTTTAACAGTGATCTATTTCTTTTTCTTTCCTCTCCAGTCCCAGACTTTATTCTGTGAACCCGTGTTTTGAAACCACATCCTAAAGTCAGAGGGCTCAATAGATTCTTAACTACCAATAATAAATCAGAATTAGCTGTGCATACTGTTTTTCACAGCTGTTTGTTCTTTTATGTGGCTCTTAGTTCCCTTATTTGCTTCCTCTGTTTTCTCCCTAAAATAAATTTAAAAAAATTAACCACTCACAACTCTGAAGTTCCTTAGGGAGGATAGGTATCTAACTTTCCAGATTTTCAGATCATTTAATGCATTAGAAAACAAGTTTAGTAATAATTTTCAAGTGATGATTGCATAGTTCAGTTAGGAGGCTAGCTGATTATATGGTTTTTGTGTCTTGATTGAGTCTCACTTTTTCAAAGTCTGACTTTGAGAGAGGAGATGGGACGATGATGGCATATCATGAGTGGTAGACTTAAGGTCAGGATACTTCTGAGAGTTGGAGACAATGCTATTCAGTACTTCATGGGGCTTGTGTGTGGCTAATGGTATGATTCGTTCTGTGTCTGCACCTGACTCTTCCAAGTACTTTACTACAAAGTACTTGGAATAGTCAGGTGCAGACACTTTCCTTTTTGTCTTCTAAAGCTCTTAGGATTTTGAATCAGCTAGTGTGTATCTAATCTTAAGGTGTCTAGCTGTAATTAAGATGTGAGGAAACTTTGAATGTTACATTTCTTACAGTTCAGATTAATATAGGTCTGTCACTTCCTCAGGTAGATTGTAGTGTAGCATGCTTATGGAAGAGTGGTAACCTTCCTCCCCAAATATTTGGGGTTTGATTACTGCAACTGCTTTTTTTTCAGAAAGGATAATTGTTGATAGCCATTTAAGATCCCACTGCAAAGTAATTTAATATGAAGAAGAATTAATATTTCTAAATTGGAACAGTTTTTGTTTCATTTACATTTTACCTATCATGAACAGTATGTCTCCTTCAGGAACATTCACAGACTTTTGGGTTAAGTATTATACCGATAAGCTATTCAGCCATTTTTTAATTTTTGCTTACTAACTCCTGTTCTTTAAGGTTTCTACTATCTTCTAGTACCAAGTTTTATATACTTACCAGAAAGTCCTTTACCATGTTTTAAAACATGACTGAGAGTGTGACTGTGTGACTTCTGTTAGCTAGATATGTGTTACAAGCAGGGTAAATCAGTTTCATAGCCTCATAACCTGTCATGCTTTGAAACTTGTTTATTGGTTTTGAAAAGACATCACAGCACAAATTTTGGAATGCATTAAATAATTTCATATTTGCATGAATTTCTGTAATCACAGTCTACTGAGTTACATTCCTGTAAGTTTTCAGATTTAAACTGTGACAGCTATAGGTGGTCTGTAGCTGCACAATTTGGCCTTGACAGATACTTATTCGACCAGCTGGCTTGTTAGCTCGCTGAAGTAAACAAGTCCCCAAGTATGAAAGTGATTGGCTGAATTCAGGCTCAAATGGGGGGACTCCAGCCAGTTCCTTTGACCCAAGGATGCACCGACGTCATTGGCCAGTGAGCTGGGCGGAGTTGAAACTTTTGTCCGGTCAACTCTCTGTGAGCCAGAAATTTGAAGCCGGTATAAAAGGGTCTGCCCTTCAATAAATGCTGGCTGTTGCTGCATGGACATGGAGTTTCATGTCACTTGTCTGTCTCTGAAACTGCAACAATAAACTATGAAAAACTGTCCGTACTATTTATTTTACTGCTTATGACTTTCTAGCAACCTATCATGCAATGGCTTGTTCTGATTGGAGGTGATCAGATGCTTTAAGGTCAGTATCTGATACTCATTTTTTTTGTTAAGTTTCTACCTCTTAGTTAAAATGTTAAATACATTTCAGATATGAAATGTTTTTTGGAATACTTGTTGAATATTCATCATCTGATTTCACAGCACTGAGTTATTTTCTTTATGAAGAGGATTTTTTTTAAAATGCAATACAATTAAGACTGCTTCCCATATATTTTTATTTTTCTTAAGCTAAATGTAGCTTAAATGCATACCTTTTCAGATAGCTTTTTCTTAGTTTTCTTCAAGTCCTACAGCATATCCTTGCTGTATTTTTGAAATAGGAGAGAGCTATTTAGAGTTACAATGCCTTGAGACATGAATTTCCAAAACCCTCACTTCAAATTCCATGCCATTTTTCTTTAGTTCTTTGTTTACTCAAGATTGGATTAGATATTTTAGCAGTCATAGAACTTTATTAAAAACCACCATGTTATTGGATGGTCTATTAATGTCAGCGTAGTTTAGTTTTTAAAATCTCTCATAGCATTAGACTACACAGTAATACTTAATAGTTGAGAAAAATAATCCTTCATGTATGTACTATCCTTATTGGCCACTGTTACAGAATGCTTTGGCAGATTAAGCCTTTTGTACAGCTGGATATTTTCATCCACTTTAGACAGATTTACAGACTCATGTGTACTAGTGTTTGATTCCCTTCTAGCTCTGAAATATTCCTTATTTGGTAGAGGAAGAGTTGCTCAAGTGGGATTCTCTAGCTTCCATAGGTGGCTGATACCAGCCCTGATGAAAGTTTTAACTCTATTGTGAGAACAGAGATAATCTAAATGAGTTTCTGCTTCTGTCAGCTGTGGTGCTGCAATTGCCTGAAATGTTTGGACATTTTATTTGTATTTCTCAGCCCTTTAGTCATACATGTGATAAGAACTTTTGTGCTAAGGAATATGAATATCCTTACTGTTGTGACATTTGTTTTCTTTCTGCCTAAAATGGAGGCCAGTAAGGGCATCAGTGCTCGAACTCAGTTAAGAAATAAGAAAGCAATGAAATGAGGTACTTTGTTAAACCAAAGTGTTGCAGAGGTGATAATAAATGTGCACTTATTGTGGCTCTGCTCATCCCCCTTACTCAAGCTTCTGAGTCTTTTTTTCTTTTGCTGGTATAAGTTACACATTCTGTCCCTGTGGAATATAGAAAAATAATTATCCATGATGTTCAGAACTGTTGTTTCAGACATAAAAATGTCATGTAACTGAGATAAGGACTTCACAAACTGAAGTAGGTTGGTGATTCTACATTGCAAAGAAGGGGCAAAAGCATTTTGCTCACTCTATGTTCAAATACACTTTTCTACATTTGGGAAAGAGTGAAAGACAGATAATATTTCAGCTGCTTTAAAAATATTAAGACCTCTTATTTCTGTTTCTTTTTGAACAAAGCTGTGTTAGATGTTTACAGATGTAATTTGCTGTCACTTGCCATATGCTCCCTGATTAATTCTGCAGGGCCTGTCAGCTTCAGATAATTTAATTTTCTGTGCTTTAAAATGACATTCATTATCAGGACATGAAAAATTCAAATGATTAACTGCAAATTATGACTAATAAAGTGTCTATTTTTTTGTTTGTTTCCAGAGAAAAACAGAAAGCTGAAGTCAAGGACAGAAGCATTTTAGAGGTTTTGCAAGCCAAAGACAGCAAAATAGAATCTTTAGAACAGGTTTGTATTATGTTTAAATAGAGCAGTTAAGAAAACTTGTCATTGACAACACATTTATGTTTGTCAAAATGAGAAAATAGTTTGCTATTGTCTCTTAAGAAAAAAGTTGTGATTCAGAGATTACAAATTTCTGAAGTATTATTTAAACTCTTCTGCGTTGTTCAAACAGTTGATCTGTTACCTGAAAAGTTCATATCATTTTAGATTAAACTTTTTCTGAAGAATTTTGTCAGTTCATTGCCTCATCTTACCCTATAGTCTAACCTAAACTTTCATCTAAGTCTAGAAGAGTGTTCTGGTTTGTAATATGCCCATGCACATCGTGGTAAGATTTGCCATCCTGACAAGTACAAAATAATAAACCTGATGCACCTTCTGCCTGACAAGAAACACCACTGAACTGGTAGTGTCTCCTTTTATTGATTTTTGAATCAATTCAAATTTAAACAGATATATAGAAAACCTACGTTATATATGATATGAAGTACAAAAGGTATGTCATACTTTATTATATAATTGTTTATTATAGAGACTATATAATGCATATATAGTAGATTATCTGTATCACATATATAATCTATATCATATACTTTATATACTATAGAACTATATCCAATATTTAATACATTAGATGTAATATAATGTATTACATTGCATATAATATGTAGATCTATGAAAGATGTAAATATCTGTAAAATAATACAGTAAATAAAATGAAAATACTGTTTATTATTGAATAAACTTTAATTTGTATTACAGCAATGGCTGAAGTTTCAGTGTGGTGTCTCTGGCCGTAGGTGTGATGTGTAATCTGTTTGGTGCATACACACACAGCATGCTTAGAAGCCAGCAGTGTATGATTTCTGCCCTATCCTTACCTGAAAGGCAAAATACCTGTGAAGACCTTTATAGGAATATGTATGCACTGCTGTGCTTTTAAGAAGGGTCCCTGCTATGGCAGTGTCTGAACCTGTGATGTGCATTCTCCATGAGGTTGCTCTCCATGGTTTCAGATCAGTTTCAGGAGCTGAAACTCTAATTGATCAGAAATCTGAAATTGATGGTGTAATAAATTTACATCATCCATGTGGAAATGGAGAGAGGCTGGTAAATGTAATTAAAACCATGGAAATCTGGCAGCCAGGAAAGAAGAGTTTGTCAACAGGATGGTAAAACTGGATATCCCTTAAAACTTGAGAATGAAAGGCTGGAGAGTAGCCCCACAGAAAGTACAGGCATCCTTGTTCACAGAAAGTTGAACATGGGTCAGCAGCGCCCTGGCAGCCAGGAGGGCCAACCCTGCCCTGGGGTGCATCAGGCACAGCATCACAGCTGGGCAAGGGAGGGGATTGTCCTGCTGTGCTCTGAGCTGGGGCAGCCTCACCTCCAGTGCTGGGGGCTGGTTTTGGGTACTACAGTAATGACGGTTGTGAAGGGCCTTGAGGGGAAGACAGGAGTGACTGAGGTTACTCGGTTCAGCCTGATAGGAGGAGGAGACTGACGGGAGATCTCATTGGGATTTAAGACTTCCTTATAAGGGGAAGAGGTGAGGCACCACTGCTCTCTTCCCTCTGGTCACCAGTGACAGGTCCTGAGGGGTTGGCTTGGAGATGTCAGGGTAGGTTTGAGTTGGATATTAGGAAAGGTTTCTTCACCCTGAGGGTGATCGGGCACTGGCAAAGGCTCCACTTGGAAATGACCATTGCACTAAGCTTGCCAGAGTTCAACAAGCATTTGGATAATGCTCTCAGGCACATGGCATGATTCTGGAGGTTGTCCTGTACAAGGCCAGGAGTAGGACTTCATGGTTCTTGTGGGTTGGTTCCAAATCAGGATATTCTGTGACTCAGTGATTCTAACAGATGAGGAGAACAGAAGTTGTTTTGATGATCATCACAACTCTAATGCAGCCCTTACAATTAGCTTCCCTTAGAGTATCATTGACTTGGGGGGGGGCAGGTTGTGAAGGACACCAGATGGTGCCAGTGTTGTGTATGAAAGCAGTGTACAGAGGTGATGTCATGCTGACCTTCTTGCCTCATCCATTGGCTGGGATGCTGTAGGACTGAATCAAGAGAGGGATTGCTTCCTGAATGCGAAGTTTTAGTGATTTGGTATCAAAGAATGGAGGTGGCTTAAAAACAATGTAGTGTTCTTATTTATTTTGTATTACTGAATGTGCTTCTTCTTCGTTCATCTAAGGAAGAAACAATACTATTTAGGTAATTAACATGCAAATAGGTTGTGTGTGAAAATGTGCATTTTGACAGTCATGGTAATGAACTGTAATATGTAAAGTACAGACAGGAAGACTTGAAGGCTGTTTAGCCGACTAATTTTTTACATCTAGGAAGTTGAGATTAGCCAGTCATTTCTTCTGTTGTTTTTCTCTTTGCCTTCATGCATCGCACAGAGATGCCAGTTGCAACAAGATAATTTGTTGTAGGGTTTGTTGTCTAGGAATTTCTGAGTGGCCACCAAAAAACTGATTGTATAAATCAATGCTGAGTAAGGGAAAAAAGAAAAATCAATGGACTGTCTCATCATTTTACATAGATGTTAGCTTCTATTGCTTCTAGAAATAACAACAGAACTGTATAAGAACATGAGATTGTATTTCTTGTCTTGTATTAGTCTTGCTTAGAATGACATGCCTAAAAGGACTTTATAAATTTCTGTAAATATGAGAGCATATTCTCCACAGCCTAGATGAGATACATCCATGTAGTTAGCTCATACTGAAAGCTAAATAAGCTTAATTCATAAAGAGATATTTCAAGTATTAGAGAAGTTTCTATTTTAATGGATATTACTGAAAATCAAGTAAAATAGTAAATTTGGAAACTATGATTCAGAAGTAATATGGTCTTTAATCACATTTGTATAACCTAACACTGAAGAAAAGTGTTCAGATACTTATGAAAATGGGACTTGTGGCTTTACAGATAAAAGTCTAAATCATAATTTTTCAAGTCTTCTGTCCAATATCTTTGGACAGTACAGTATATGCATTGAACTTCTGTTTACTTAGTACAACTTCAGGTTTTCACTGCTCCTAAATTATGGTGTTGTAATCTTCAGTTTTGTATACATGAATAAGACCTTTTTCTTTTCATGAGTTTATTCCATAACTTCATATTGTGTTAAACATTTAAAATATGAATTAGCGTGGAAGATTTCAAGATGTACCATTCAAACATACAAATAAATTTGTTAAAGCACTTAAGATTATTCTTGTCTATTATTGCACATAAATTCAGCACAGAATGTGTTGTATTTGAGTTTTCCATTGTACTTTTCCCTTCTTGCTTTTTTATTTAATTAGTGTAGTGGTAACTTTTGGTCCTGATAGTCACAACTTGGCCTCATCTGGCATACAGATATATTTATTGTAAATGCTGTGTGGTAAAAATCTTATTCCTTTGCAATAATTGTCTTGAATACTATTCTGAATTTTTGCTGTTATTTTTGTTTTATGCAGCGTCTCAAAACTCTATTCTTAGCAGTTATATATGCCTGACATATATGCATTACTTCTCTGTTTCAGTGAAAAGAATTTCTAACTGCTATGTTTAAGTGGCTAGGACGCTCTCTTAGGATTTTACTTCTTCTGAAGACTGATAGATACTTTGCTGCAAAAAATTTTTTCATTGTCTTTTTTATTTGGAAACATTTTTAACATGTTGCATTTAATTTATAATAATTGTGTGTATCTTAAATAGATCACCAATGCTATTTGCACCCTTAAATGTAAGGTGAGGTTTTTGGGGGAATGTGTGAATTTTTTAAATTCAAGCAATTAGTTTAGCAGATAATGCTGGAGCAGGGAACAGTCTTCTGCCATTCACACAATAGATAAATTAAAATATCTTAACCTGTTTTCTTTAGAAGATGACATTAAAGACAGGTAAAAATAACCGTAAACCTTTTCTTATAACATTGTTAATTAATTAGCTTTCAATTTTGATCTGGAGGAACTAAAGCTAATCTTTTTGTCCTAGACCTTGTAATGTTTCAAAACCTTATCAACTGATTATACTCTAGAGGGGTTAAAATAGTACTAGCTTGCCTCATTATCTGCTCTTGAAAATCTTCAGCTTGCTGTGCAAATCTATATTAAAGCCTTTTTAATGGGTCCAATTGAAAGAAGCATAATTCTACCTTCAAGCATTAATTAATACTGATAATTTTTTCTTAACTTTTGTACATTTGCCTGGTTATATTTTTCTTTGTAATAAAAATACTTTTATTAAATTAGAACAAATGTATAGAGACATTATTACTATCTAAATACTTTATTTTCAGTAGCATGTAAGCTTGATTATTCTTGGGTAATGAGGGACATGAGGATAATTTTGGTAATAAGGAGTTCTGATGAAAGTCAGCAGTGTTGAGATTATATGAATTTTATAAACTCTTTGCACAAAAAGTTGGTCCAGTGAATAAGATTTATATATAATGCAGACAAAGCATGTTGAAGGAGATGCTAACATTTTTTTTTCTTTAAAAAAAAAAGCGACTCAGGTTGTGCATTGGAAAAGGGATCAGCCTTCAGTGGTGAAACCTGTGTTTTATGTAGCACCTTTGAACTGCCTCAGTGAATTATCGTATGTCTTTTTGCCTTTCTGTTTGACGTCTTCTTGTTAGTTTTCTCATAAAATTAAGGGAAGGAACCCTTTTTCAGGAGCTGATATCTGTGAGAAACATGGGAAGAAAAATATACAGACAGTTGAAAATTGCTGATTTTGGTTTATTGATAGAATGCTGCCTGAGATGGGTAGTATGATGACTATGGCTGATACCTGTGGGCTTTTTTGACTGAAGAAATTAATAAGCTCTAAATTACAGTGTACCTTTATAGCTCATTAGTATTTTTGTATGAATTCCCAGTAGGAAGGCTTTTTCTACTACTTGAAAAAGTGCTTCTGTGAGGTAGCTTGCTCCATTTTGAGGAAATAGTTTTTAAACTTAACTTTTTCTTACTTAATTCTGCAGAAAAG